AGGAAGCTTGTTTCCTAGAGGCTGTAGATTTCTTCGAACTCCTCCGACGCCGGGCAGGAACCGAGGACGCAGCGGGCATTCCCCCTCTGGACCGCGACACTGAGGCGCTGGAAGAGAAAACTTGCCACTCTAGGGGTCTCTTGTAGTGTCAGTGAGCCTGGAACCAAGATCCTTAAGAAACCTTCTTGCGCTCTCTCCCTATGGGCCCTGGGTCTCAGATCCTGTTGGAACGAAGTTGTACCGGTGATCTAATTCCCTGTACCTGGTTGACTTGTATCCCTCTCTGTGTGTCACTGCGGCTCCTGCTTGGCCAACAGAAAGGTTGATGTATGTGGTTGCCAGGGTGGATACACAAGTATAGTCCCATGCCAACTCTCTGCCACCCTTCCAAGGGCGCAGTGTGATTACGTCTGGTCGGCCGGCAAACGGTTCAATGGATTGCGGGGCGCTCTCTGCTGGACACTGGGGTAAAGGCAAGGCTCCTCTTAATGATGTCATTGACTTCGTCGTGCCTAGAGTGCCTACCGCCAGATTTTCCACAGTGCAGGCCATGTATCCATATTCGTCAGCATCTGCCTCGCCGCAAATACACCTGTGAACAGTGTGGATTGGGGCAGCAAGACGGAGAGCGACTGCAATACAGAGCTCCTGCGGATCAAGACGTGTGCCTGTCGCAGACATAAGGACTGCCAAGTAGTAGTCCCCTGCATGGGGAGCCTGCACAGCTGTGAAGCGTGCACGATCACTGGGGGTTGTTGCTGTCTCCAGCAAAGCACTCCCAATAAATAAATTATATATATATATATATATATATATATATATATATATATATATATATATATATATATATATATATATATATATAATGTGTGTGTGTGTGTATATCACGAAATACAACAAGTACAATACATCACGTGTATATATATATATATATATATATACACGTGATTAAAAATGTGACAATGTCAGACCACGGAGGAAAAATGAAACAGGAATTTCCTTAAGTACTTTCGTATATTAATACATCTTCAGAAGGAGTGTGTTACATCTTCAGACTCCTTCTGAAGATGTATTAATATACGAAAGTACTTAAGGAAATATATATATATATATATATATATATATATATATATATATATATATATATATATATATATATATATATATATATATATATATATATATATATATATAATTTATTTTATAGTTTATATATTGTATTAAAAATATAGCATTATATTTATATATATGTAATTCTTGGTAATGTAAGCGGTCACTCGTGCAAAACTGCTGGCTAGTATTTCTTTGCTCAAGCTGAAAAACAAATTTCTTTTACTGGCCTCAGTGAGTCGGTTCAGCAGTCCTGTTGTTGTTGTTGCAAGAAGTATTGTATTCTGGCGCTACAGCCAGAAGTCTGGTGATAATTGTGCGCGTCTCACAATTTGACGACCTGACGGCCGTTTAATTTGAAATTAATTTTGCTTAACCAGAAGCATCAAGACCGCAAGCCACATGCTAACATCGTGACACGTCAGACGTTATCTTGAGGTTATCTTGAGATGATTTCGGGGCTTAGCGTCCACGCGGCCCGGTCCTCGATCAGGCCTCCTTTTTATTACACATCCCCTTGAAGCAGCCCGTAGCAGCTGTCTAACTCCCAGGTACCCATTTACTGCTAGGTGAATATGGACATCAGGGTGAAAGAAACTGCAAATTTGTTTCCGCCTCCGCCGGGAATCGAACCCGGAATCTTAGGACTACGAATCCCGAGCGCTGTCCACTCAGCCATCAGGCCCCTTCTAGCACACAGTTTGCGTAACATGTCAGGCTATCACGCAACATGTCTCAATATATATATATATATATATATATATATATATATATATATATATATATATATATATATATATATATATAATTGGAAAGCCATGGGAGCCGGTCGGCCGAGCGGACAGCACGCTGAACTTGTGATCCTGTGGTCCCGGGGTCGATCCCGGGCGCCGGCGAGAAACAATGGGCAGAGTTTCTTTCACCCTATGCCCCTGTTACCTAGCAGTAAAAATAAGTACCTGGGTGTTAGTCAGCTGTCAAGGGCTGCTTCCTGGGGGTGGAGGCCTGGTCGAGGACCGGGCCGCGGGGACACTAAAAAAGCCCCGAAATCATCTCAAGATAACCTCAAGAAGAAGCCTTTAAATATTATTATATACTTTATTATATTATACACATTATATATTATTATATACTTTATTATATTATTATTATATACTTTATTATATTATATACATTATTATATACTGTATATATACAGTATATATACAGTATATATACAGAATATATACTGTCTTGTTGTATTTTACACAATTACAAAAAGTCAGTATATATACAACAATATTCTGCAGTCACGTGTCTGATCTCTCTGATCACATGAACAACACCTGCAAGACGATATACATGTCGTTGATCTCGTTCTTTGTTGCGTTAAAAGTATAAATACCACATATTAAGATAATTGAGCGATTGATTGATTGGTGAAGATTAAGCCACCCAAGAGGTTACACGGGCATGAATAGCACGTTACCGTAAAATTATGGCGTTTGTTCAGTTTGTCTTGTATGTGTGTGTATCTGTCATTTGTTTCCATATTTGTTAGTCTTTTTATATCTACGTAAATCCATTTGAGTGTATGTGAATCTCTCCGCGTTTGTGAGTACCTGTAATCTATTATTAATTACATAGATAGGGATAAGACATACCTTCACACAGACATGTATACATTTACTCATTAAATAATCATTGTGACAATCAACAGTGTCTATATTTAACCTTTTAGGCGGGGTAGTGATAAGGTATTATTAGGAAAAGATCGGTGGGCACTATTAGGAAAGATCCTTAGCCTGGCGAGTGAGCATGTGTGGTGTAATCTGGAAAATCCGTGGTGGAACCAAGAGCTATCTTACCATGCCGGAAAAGGCTTGCCAGGTGTTGTAAAGGGAAATTTTAATTGAGAAAGTGTGTGTTTAGTTTCTAATAGACCCCCCATATCTATTATAAAGGGGGGGGGGCAGAAATGTTTCACGTAATGGGTTATTAAGGAACTGGACCCCCAATGTATAAAGAGAGCAATTTACGTACATGGTGAACTTACTCGGATACCGTTTTCAGTTGCCTATCGTGCACGAGGCACCCATCCATCCAGTTAGTCCCAGCCAACCAGTTAGTGTTTGGCGTTGGGGGAATTGGTCACGTGTACAAAACTTCTATAGTAAACAACGACATGCGAATTAAGAATAAGAATTTAAACATGCGTGTCTAGCCATATAAATATTCATAACGTCAGCGTAATTACCTCCAGAGCAGGATTATTATTATTACATGGGTATGACTACATTAGCAATAAATAATTTTGCTGAGCAGGCTTTAGCATATTTTCATGGTTGTTTGCATAGCTTTAATGTTAGTGGCCACAATCTATGGTGGTGGTGAAGTTCAACTTCTCCACAAAGTTGAAGAGACTCTTCTGAAGATTGTCAGTATTTTTATAGTTTTTAATAGTTTGACAGCGCTTAGGATTTTTAGTTTTTGCGAATAGCTTCAGATTCTAGTGTACCGTATCCTGTGCCGTCTTCGATACAGAACTGTGGAGCCATTTTCACTGCACCACCTCAAAACACACGCAGCTTAGCTCTGCGTCGAGACGGGAAGTCATTTAAGAGCACAACCTTGACATTTAGATTAAAATGTGTGGAAGGAAAAGTGACTTTTAATCATGAGATTACACTAACTTACGGAGTAAGCCATGCTGATGGATTAAGCCATACTGATTTAGTGTCTGACCGAAGTTGGCAGAGTACCCCAGATATATTTATACAATTGAAACTTGCATTATATCCAAATTTCGCTTCAATAAATGAAGGAATGTGGTGAAAGTATAGGCTGTATAGTCTGAAATCATAAACATTCACTTGTTACCCTGTAATATCGTGTTAAAATATTTACCAAAATGATACCTCTGTGTAATATTATACCTCTAATGTGTAATATTATATTGTCATACGCTTCAGTTACTGCAAGCAATGTCCTGGTACTAGCTAGCAGTGTGTGAGGTGTATTGATAAATTTAAAAAAACCCATGTTAAATAACATCCACTGTGGTTTGAATTAAGATGTTTTGTGCATTTTAGTATGAGGCTGCACAAACTATCCGCCGCTGGCAGTAGTAATCAGTCATTGCAACTACCTTTCATTAATTTTTAAAACCTATGAACAGCCGAATGGAAGAGCTTTCGACCATTGGTTTATTGATGGGGTTATAATGTCCAAAAGTTGAGGTTGTGGGCTAGTCACACTCGTGACAACTCTCAACCGATCTGTTTACACTTGGTACGTCCAAAATATCCTTCAGAGAAATTGAGGAAATGAGATGGTATAGAACTCTCATCATTGGACTTTCCCCAGGCGCACGCTCTACAACTAATCTTGACGTGTGTGACCAAAGTCCGGGGATGCGGGGTTGATCCAATTGCCATGGCCTCTGCGTTTTCTCAGATATCTCGTTCTTGAGATATATTGGGTATCCTCCAGAGAATGAAAGGCCTGTACAACTATATGACTACGCTCTGCTTAGCACAACTCTAGAAACGGTTCACTTGACATAAAATGCAAGAAAATTAAAAATACACTAATTATGCTACTTTCTGGTTACATTTTTTGTGTGTAGATCGGAAGGCAAGAGAGGTTACTCGGTAGACAGACTATTTAAGTTCTTGCGAGGCAGGGACCACATTGGCATCTTTTTTTTCTTCTAAACTGGTTTTCTTCTCACATTTGAGCGTTTCTTGTTTGGAAATTTACGGAAGCCACTACATTACCTCCAGTAACCAATAATATTTAACAAGTCATGGCACATTATTTGTATCTCGGTAAACGTGTGGCAAGTCTGGTGGGAGGAAGTTGCTGGACCGTGGTGGTGGGCCTGGCGGCTGGGGAACCCGAGTTGATTGTCAGTCAGTCAGTTTGGTGTTGAGGCTCAGGAGGGTTGTGACGCCTGCCGCTCTTAACTTGGCGCTCGCGCACTCAAACGTGTCACCGAAAACTGTTTTAACGCATTGCTGCAGAACTCGGTATAGGCTAATACAGATGTCGCAGCCTGCTTGATATCCAGCAGTGTGCTGTGGTCTGCTTGATATCCAGCGGTGTGCTGTGGTCTGCTTGATCTACGTTCTGCTGTAGCCTGCTTGATCTCCAACGGTGTGCTGCGGTCTGCTTAATCCGAGCTCTGCTGCAGGTTGCTTGATCCGGGCACTGCTGCATGGAGTAGGCATAATCCGCACTGCTGCAGTCTGCTTTTGCGCGTTGCTCGCTAGAAAGGAGATTAAATAACATCGCTGGACCTCTGCTAAACTAATTGGAGGATTGATTACAACTAATACCACACGTTAACATAATTCGTAAGTTGACATTAATTACAAATTAATAAACAAATATTTATTCACGAATGGTTGTATATTTAATTACACTAGTTTACACAATTTTAGTATAAATGCTTTGTTTTATAATAGTACAAAACACACTCACTCACCTCACCTCTCAATTATATACTAATGAACGCGGTATTCTTTTGATCCCAGTTTTAGTCACGTCACGAACGCTAATATATCCATGCTTGTGTGGAATTTCACCGGAAGCCTGACTGACATTGGCAGTAAACTCCAATTTCTTGTTAGCCCATACGGCAAGATCTGGGAAATTTATTTATTTGGGAATGTTAGTCAGTGAGCTGGATAACCACCAAAATCAATGAAGGTCTAGGCTACCGGCTCTAGGATTCTCGTTGTGGATATATTGTGGCATAGCCTGAGCCGATTCTCCTCGAGGCTAGCTTCATTTTGCCTGGATAAAAGTTTTGGGAATTCTACTCCCCAAGCCCCGCCCGGGGTCAATCTTGACTTGAGAACTTGGTCCAGCAGGCTGTTGCTTGGAGCGGCCCGAAGGCCCACTTAATCCACTGCAGTACAGTAAATTGGTCCAGCATGTTGCAATAGGCTAAGCATAATTTTGGTCGTTGTTTTCCTATTGATCCACCCTATATCGAAAATCATTTAATCACTTTGTAGTTGAAAGTTTAAAAGGGTAGAATAATAGTGTATATAGAGTAATTATATGCAACTGAAAACTCACACCCCAGAAGTGACTCGAACCCATACTGCCAGAAGCACTCTGCAACTAATGTACAGGATCCCTTAACCACTCGACTATCACGACCGGTCAAAAGAGGATGGTAGCTGAGGCTAATTCCCCATCCTCCCGCCGGCACTCTGATGGTAATCTTTGGCATAATCTTCGGCTACCATCTTCTTTTGTCCGGTCGTGATGGTAGAGTGGTTAAGGGATCCTGTACATCAGTTGCACATCAGTTGCAGAGTGCTTCTGGTAGTATGGGTTCGAGTTACTTCTGGGGTGTGAGTTTCCAGTTGCATGGTCCCGAATGGTCCCCAGGACTATATGCAACTGAAAACTCTTGTTTCCGTTGCATATAGTCCTAATATGACTTAAGTTAATAATTCATGTTCCTAATATAATTGGTTCTTTTCAAACAACAGTAATAATAATAATAATGAAAGAAATGTTTGAAAATAACGAAAATCATTCGACCTATTAGGCACATTGGACCTTGCATACTAAGCTAAACATTGTAGGTTCTAGTTTATTGGGCACGACATATGTCAGTAGTTGATGTAACGCATCTGATAACGACCTGGATTTAATCAGTGACTGCGTACTTGATATCTGTAAAAATTATGTTTAAATTAAACATTTGTAATACATTAATTACATTTAGCTAATGATCCTATTTCGTAATTTTTTATTTTGGTGAATTTGAGATTGGATTCATTAAAATAGTGATTCTCTGCGCCCCGGCATTGTTGCCCATGCCACCGCATCAGTCAATCAATCCGGCATTATATTGGAGCCACAAGGAGAAACGGCTGCAAGCCAATCGGTTATATTAAGGGGTGTGCGTGTAGGCAGGGTTGAGGCAGCCTTAGCAACGGGAGGTTGTATTGAGGGGAGGAAGAGCTTGACAACTAGGTGACAGAGTGCAAGTTGCTTTCCGGCCGGTGTCGTCGGGCATTGGGAGGCAGGGTTCAGGTGGTACTCAGGCCGCTGTGGTCGGACAGTGGAAGGCAGGGAGCAGGTGGTCAGGCGTTTTTTTTTATTATTATTTTTTCTACCACAGACGTGGCCACACATTTACAATGCAAACCAGCATATATACATTTTCTTCTGTCCTCCATGGACAGGGTGAGAGATTTGTTAAACATACAGTTCAGGGATTTATTGAACAATCCACCACAGTCGGCAGTGGAAGGCAGGGAGCAGGTGGGGGTTCCGGCCTCTGGTCGGGCAGTGGAAGGAATTAATTTGTTCCTCGCGGCACCTCCACATATTCTCGCTAGTCATGTCACTCTTAAGCTCACAATATATTTTGCTCAATAATTGGTGTGTAATTTGTGCTAGAAGTTTGGAGATGTACTTTTTTCGGTAATTCGTGATGTGCTAGCGTAAGGATCTAGGTTCTAGGAATCTTGGACGGAAGATGGTGGTAGCCAAGTGAGTGAGGGATATATATAGTATGGGGACATGGCAGCTCACCACCTCCCTAGGTGGTGGTAGGGGGTTTAGTTAGAGACCAAAGTCTCTCACGATGTGCCGTAAAAAAACCTCGTTTTACTTAACCAAAAACGTACAAATCCAAGCAACCTACCCAACCTGTCGAGGGCCGTGGCATTGAAAACTGGCAATATTAATGTTTTTTTTTTTTTGTAACACGGATTTGTAACAAACAGATTGGTAGATTTTGTTAAATATTTTGTATTAGATAAGATGACAGGTTGACTAAGGAAGAGTGGGGCACCATTTTTATTATTATTTTTCTACCACAGACGTGGTGTCACATTTACAGTACTAACCAGCATATGTACATTTTCTTCTGTCATCCATGGACAGGGTTAGAGATCTGTTAAACCTATAATTCAGTGATTTACTGAACAATCAACCATAGTGGTGACTTGAAGGGTGTCACCGCCCCGTCGCATATATAAAGCGTCAAGTTGAAAACCACAAAGGGGGTGGGGGGGGGGAGGGGGTCGCCACCTTGTCTACATATAAGAAAATTTCTCATTATTTATCATTACTCATTCAAACGACTGACATGAACTTTATCTTATAACAAACCACGTGTAACCTGGTGATTTGCTTAAAGATAACAGCTGATAACCAGAACTCCGAAGCCTTATGACCTTGGTAATACACTGACAACGGCAGGCTATAGTTGATTTGGATTTTACAACGTTGAATTAGTTATTTGACATTGCATTGGCTTGAGCTACAGAATTTAAAGAGTGGGAAACAGGCTTATCATCCCTGGCACTGATGCGCACTGAAACAGATCTCGTTGAATTCAGAAGAATGTAACATAGAACTGTGAAAGAAGCACTGTTGCTGTACATCTGAATTTCAATAAAAATGATGATCAAACCCACACATCAGAAAATGAAGAATCGACGACGTTTCGGTCCGTTCTTGACCAATGTCAAGTGTAAACGCTGCAAGAGGCCATTTGACTTCTTGCCGTTTTTCTAACTTTTTCATTCAACTTTTCCTATTTTTATATTTTCTTATTTACCTTTCCTTTACCTGATTCTCTCTTTTCTTTTCTTTTTTTATTTCACCTTATAGTCACCTTTTACCTTATTCTTACCGTCTTCTTTCTTTTACATGCTTCTCACCTTTCATCTCAATTTCTTACCTTATTTATTTGTTTCTTCCACTTTACTACACGACTTGATAATGGTCCAGGACAGACCTGGACCATTTTCGGGTACGGGCTCACCATAGCCCGTGCTACTTGGAATTTTACATTCCAGGTAGCGAATCTTTAACAACAACATTTTCGGGTGCGTGGTTTGGTCGTCATATCTTTAGCGACGTTAGTGTGACTCATCGTCTTCGGTAAAAATAGGTGGTATTGTGACGTAGTTGCCACACAAGTAGTGACCTTGACAATGACAGGGAGCTGCTGCCATCTATATATACGACCATATTTGTGTAAATAAGAAACATCCATTTTTTTATAATGCTAAATCAGTGACAGTAGCGTGTTGGTGACTGTATAAGTATTTAAATTTCGTTACAAATGCTAACTAACTAATGACTTTGGGTTATGTTACTCTGAGTGAACGGAGATTTTGCCTTTCTGTGGATCCTGTATACTACCTATCCCTGGATAACATCCTCCATGGACGTCTATTTAACATTAACCTTATTTATTAACCATTAACCATTAACATTATTTAACTATTTAACATTCAAACGATTCTTCGCGGCGGGGATCGTATTCCAGGGACCTGCCCGAAACGCTACGCGTACTAGTGGCTGTACAAGAATGTAACAACTCTTGTATATATCTCAAACAACAAAAAAAAAAAAAAAAAAAAAAAAAAAACATGTCATTTTGGTCTCGTACTGACATTGTGAATTACGTCAACGAACAATACAGTGCTGTATAATCATACCGGCTTAGTGCTCTTGCAATTACTAAACATGCATGCTTGCAATAATCTTTCAAATTCTTAAATATAAAATCTGCTGTGATGGCGTAACTAACGATGACGTGTGATTGTACACCAGCAGCAGTGGGCGTGCGGGTGGGCAGGCCAGAGTCCTGCTTGGCAGCATGGATCAGCTACAAAGGGACCGTGTGGGCCAGCGACCCTTCAACGAGCACACGGGCGACAACATCTGCCCCAACATGATACGCGGCATCGACTACATCAGAGACCCCAGGCTCAACAAGGTCAGTAAGCCGGGCATCTTGGGATTGTTTTAGATTTTCAGGTTACCCTAAAAGTCACTCTTAGCCATCTCCAGAAACCTCAGGCTCAACAAGGTAAGTAATCGAGGCAGCTTTAGATCATCAGTTGTCCAAGATAATTCGTTGACTTGGCCCTAAGGTGAAGTGACCCAAGGTGACCCCAGGGGTGACCTTGGGTCACTTGGGCAGATTATATCGTGCTCTTGTCCCTCCTAAGTCATCAGGCCATATTAGGCCACTTGGGAATTCGTGTCAGGTCTTCAAAGTCCACTGGATATTTATTTATTTTTGTTTCTTTGCTTCTTCTAATTAGCTAGTATTATGTTCTTTCTTGTTAATTTTAATGCTTTTCATAGCGTTATATCAGTGGGCGGTAAACGGGCATTTCATGCGATCTTTTATTCCACTTGGCTACTTATATTATTTGTGCATATATATTATAGGTTTAATGAGATGTATTGTGCGTTTGTTGGGATATATCATGGGTATAATGACGTATCATGGGTTTGAGTACTGTATTACTATTTACGGCGGGCCAGACATGCCCAAAGCCATACCTCCCCCCCCCCTTCCTCTAGTTTTCGTGTACAATATAGATGGGCTCGTTCAGATGTGTAATGGATTTGATCATTGTTGTGTGTGTGTGTGTGTGTGTGTGTGTGTGTGTGTGTGTGTGTGTGTGTGTGTGTGTGTGTGTGTGTGTGTGTGTGTGTGTGTGTGTGTTTAAATTCAGCTACTCGGAACGAAAAGTTCCAAGTGATTAAGGTGAGTGTGAGGTTGAGCCACACTTTAATTACGCCAATCTCGTATAACTTTTAAAGTGTTTCAACGCGTACATGCGAGGATTTGATAGGTAATTGTCTGCTGGCAAGTGTTTAAACTTTAGCGTGACGGCCCTTGTGGATTTGGCACGACCACAAGTGTTAAAGTCGAACGGCCCCTGTGGATTTGTTCATTTAGTGTGACGATGCGATCAGTCAGTATCTATAATGCACGCGTTCTTACAGAAATGTTTTTCATAGAAAGTCGAATCTCGTAACAACAGTGTTAAACCAATATATATCCCCCATTCATATTGTAAGCTAAATGTTATGAAGTGTATGTCTAAAATGTAAGTTTTATTTATTGTTGCACTCCTGTTTTGTGCAGCTATACGGATACCTATTTGTAATGATAGTTTAGAGTAGTTTCTGATGAAGTTGATGGTCGGCCAGGATTATTTGTAAAGAATTTACGCAACACCTCTTACTGTACATCTGTTCTCAGTCATGGCGCTTTGTTTACATTTATTAAATCGTTTATGGACTCTAAAGCATTACAAAGTTGTCTATAACAATAAACTAGTTGTTTATTAGAACGGGTTAGGTTATTTATTAGGCCTGGGGACCAGATACTGGAACTGGTTAGGCTTTCAGCGTCATGTTTGTCATTCGCGCGTGCTAAGTCTGTGTGTACTCACCTAGTTGTGCTTGTGGGGTTTGAGCTCTGGCTCTTTGGTCCCGCCTCTCATCTGTCAGTCAACTGGTGTATAGATTCCTAAGCCTACTGGGCTCTTATCATATCTATATTTGAAACTGTGTATAGAGTTAGCCTCTATCACATCACTGCCTAATGCATTCTATCTGTTAACTACTCTGATATTGAAAAAGTTCTTTCTAACGTCCCTGTGGCTCATGTGGATACTCAGTTTCCATCTGTGTCCCCTTGTTCGCGTCCCTCCCGTGTTAAACAGTTTATCCTTATCTACCCTGTCAATTCCTCTGAGAATTTTGTAGGTAGTGATCATGTCTCCCCCTTACTCTTCTGTCTTCCAGAGCTGCGCGCGCGCGCGCGCGCGCGCACACACACACACACACACACACACACACACACACACACACACACACACACACACACACACACACACACACACACACACACACACACACACACATATGCGTTGTGTGTGTATATAAAATTATATTATATAATATATATATATATATAATATATTATAATTATATATATATTATAATTATATATATATATATAATATATATATAAATATATATATATATATATATATATATATATATTTATAATTAATATATAAAGTGTATGTATAATATATAATTTTATTTATATGTATACATATATATTATATATATATATATATGTATATTATATATATATATATATATATATATATATATATATATATATATATATATATATATATATAGATTATATATATATATGTATGTATATATATATATATATATATATATATATATATATATATATATATATATATATATATATATATAAAATCCATTGTTAGCATTAGCACCACGAGGAGGTAGCCTAACAGTAGGTCTTGCATCCCTCTATACATATTTCCTGAGAAGCCTGGGGGAATCCTCTTAACCCACATCGAATAACCGGTCCGTAGTCTTATCTACACCAATAGTATAGTTTTGGGAATTTGGTGTGGTAATTTAGGAATTGTCTCAACGATAAATAAAAAGTCGTCTTCACAGTGGTTTCCCAGAGATGTGTCCTTGACGGCATCCTGTTTTCTTGTCTGCCTGGACACGTCCTGTGGTGGGTTCCAAGAAGCCTCCATAACGAATCATTCCCGTTGTTGGGGATAGGAAACTTATACTTAGGAATACCAATGTCCCACCCCATGGGACAACTACTGACCTTCCCCAGGATACAACCCACAGCAATTGCCTAACTCTAGGGTATCTCTCCTAGTACACACAGAAATCACAATAGCGTTATATATCGAATAAACAAATCTACAATCCTCATCCCGTGATGAGGGCTCGAACCTATGCACTGGATGTTCCCAGATAAGCCTTAGTCAACCTTCATGCAAGCCTTTTGACCACGACATGGTCAAAAGAATTGCAACCTGGAGTGATACTCTCCTCACTAGGACCCTCCGAAGCCCAATCAGAGTTTCACACAATTCCGCCATGCAATTGGCGAATTGCTGGGGGAGATTTGGCGAATTGCTGGGGGAGATTTGGCGAATTGCGGGGGAGATTTGGCTGATTGATGGGGAGATATATGTGGTGAAGGTCATCGCTGAATGAGACACTGGCGACTAGTGGGCAGATAAGGATAAACTGTTTAATACGGGTGGTATGCGAACAAGGGGACACAGGTGGAAACTGAAACTGTCAACCGAATGTTCTACCTCTATGACCTTACTTCAGTGCATAGGTTCCAACCCTCATCACGGCCCTTGTGGATTTGTTCATTTGATGTATCACATTATTGTGATTTCTGTGTGTATTGAAGTAAGAGTGTAGGATAAAACATTTGGTTGACAGAGCCTGGGGTGCATGGGGGAATTGTGTGAAACCCTGATTGTGCTTCGGAGAAGCTTCGGGATCCTAGTGAGGGCAGTATCACTCCAGGTTACTATTCTTTTGACCATGTCGTAGTACAGTTGACTAAAGTGCATCTGGGAACATCCCGTGCGTAGATTCGAACCCTCATCACGATCCTTGTGGATTTGATCATCTCTCCTAGTGCTGGTGAACATCCGGTCTAAGGAAATGCATCAGGTTAAAAGAAACTTGCCAACCGTTTCTGTTCTGCCTTGGGATTGAATCTGTGGTCCTTGGTTGTAAGCCTAGAACGTAAATCACATGGATGGTTGCATAATATATGTAAGTAATTGTCGGGTTATTTTCTTGATGATAGCCAGCGAGGTTATCGTTGTAGCATTGAGAAGGAAAGTTTGCAGCGTTGCTGTGTGGAAGTGGTGAAATTCTGAAGTGTTTATTGGCTCCCGATTTGTTGTTCATGGCTATCCCATCTTAAGTATCATCCTGAGGAGATGATACTGATATGAGATGATAGAAGATGATGATCAACACATTGAGAGGAGATTTGACATAAAGGGGGGGGGGTCGATTTAACATATTGCGGGGGAGATTTGGCGGATTGCGGGGGAGATTTGGCAAATTGCGGGGGAAATTTGGCGAATTGCTGGGGAGATTTGGCTGATTGAGGGGGAGATGTGTGGTGAAGGTCATCACTGAATGAGAGAGACTGGTGAACTGTGTCACTAGAGGAGGTAAAGAAGCACCTGGAGAATCTGGATCAAATAAATACAGTACAGTATAGCCAGAGACACATCACACTGTTGCCAGCTAGCCATGCTTCCCTCCACATCCCAAGCCCTGTTAACACTCATCACTGCTTCCTCATTCACTCATGCACCATGTCTGGCCATGATCTTCCTGACCTCAGTCACCCTTCACCAGGCTTATCTATTTGCTCAAGATGACAAATCATATTGGTACATTTATATCATTCTTGTACTAATACCACTCATACTTCTCAGTGTACACTTGTATACTGATACAAGTTAAGGTCTTCATGTGTCTTAAAAGTGCTATATAGGCACTGGATTAGCACTTTTTCTGTTAACACTTTCGCGCTCTCGGCGCTCAAAAAAAAAACAATACCCCAGATGCTTTTGGCACTTCGCGCGCCTACGCGGTAAGACCGAAAAAGTGTACACTCTTTTGACTGTCCTGACAACAATTGAAGGCGCACGTATTTATATTTGGTATCACTGTGTTCGCAATGAAATTGTCTATAAGAGCATACCTATAAAATGCCGCCCAAGCATAAGGAGTATCAACACCAAATAAAAAACTATGCAGATCACTCGCCGAGAGCGCCAAACAGCAACAAAATGTTTCCACTCTCTTAATGGTTGCGAAGCCTACAGTTGTCCTACATCGCTAATTTTGGTGTCATTGGAATCGCAATAAAATTCTCTACACGGACATATGCATATGAATGTTTAATATAGGTAATTGCCCACCCGCAAGAGTGTGTGAAGTGGAGAGTAGTTAGTCGCCAGCGCACTGGCGAAAACACAGGGGGGAAATCATGCTTGGAAAGTTTAGACGTTTCCTGACCCTACTTTTCTATGTACGTATTTCTTTTTTATACATATGTGTTCGCAATAAAATTTTCTATAAGATGAACTGTATAACATTTGTACAAAGCATGTGTAAGAGAAGCGCCAAATATAGAACCACGTCGCTCAGTATGCGTTCGCGGCAGAAACGAACGCATTGTTTTCGTTCGTTTGATGTTTGTCATGTTTATACTTGTTGAAACATTTTATAATTTGTATGACAGTGATCGCAGTAAAATTCCCTAAACAGACATATACATAACACATACAAATATTTCCCACGTGTTGGATATATCAACGGCTAAAGGGAATCCACTGCCACACGCTCGCCACACCCCCAAACATACTTTGTGTATTTTTTTTTTTACTCATAGAAGTTTATGTGATATAATATTCATTCTGATACCAAAAAATTCGCAAATAAATTCACTACAAAACAAAAGTATCTCCATCCATTTCGGTTAAAAAATGGAATTTATAGAAATATTTTTTCGATTGACGAGAAAAGTAGGCTGTTATGCGGAATCGTAAGAAAAAACAGCGACGAGTTATCTCTAATCTAAAGCGCGAAAGTGTTAATTACCTTACCTTGCTCTTAATGTAATGTTTCCGTTCATATCGTTCGTTCCGTTCATACCGGGCTGTGGTGGGTATGTGGGCCTGCGGGCCGCTCCAAGCAACAGCCTGGTGGACCAAACTCCCAGAAGCCCATCAAGCAGGTATCGCTCACCAACCCTCTGATAGCAACTCGCGTTTATTAAATCGGTAATTTTTCTTCTGAATTAGTCCACTCTTGACTTCAATGGCAGAAATTCCTCTTGCCTATTACACATCCCAGGTATGTAAATGCTTCCATAACAAACGCTTCCATAAAGAGGTAGCTTCCATAACTTCCTTCAGTAGTGAAGGAAGTTATGGAAGCTACCTCTATGTTTACAACTTTAAAGCCAGATTTGACAAAGAATTCAAATGTCTGAATAGTTAAATTGTAACATATTAATGGTAAAATGGGACATAGAGATATAGACCTCGCTTCCCTGATAACAGTGATAAATACTGAAAGGTACGTACTTCCAGCAGGTCTCCCAATTATATATAAATATCTTCTCTCAACAATCATAAATAACATTTATATGTAAACATTCAAGAGTCTTCTCATGTCAATCAAATGTTCTCCCTTTCCACATATAATTTTCTACTAGAAGATTTATCTTCATACATCAAACTGAACACAAACCAACTCCATTAATGATGCACTATGTAAAAACTCTATTCTAATATTCTCACTTTGACCTCCTTCGTGACTGTATCTATATTTACATTGAAGAACTGCAGGGACATGACATCCCTGCATTAGAGACAGATCAAAAGTGTGGGGTGAGATTTTGACAAGAAATTGATTGTGTAAGGAAAACCGGGCATTGGAGAGATTAGATTGTGTTGAATATAAATTCTTATAAATGGCTTGGGGCAAAGCCTATCTATTTTCCCTGGACATACCTGAGGGCCTATTGCGAGGCTGACGACAGGGACAACCGCAGCACAAGTCCACTGCTCGTTCTACACACCACATGCTGTAGTGTAACCATGGACTCCACCCTCTTTGGTGCCTTATGTTGTGCACTGTGCCCACTGTTGGTCATGCGGCACTGTGCCCCACTGTTGGTCACGCGGCACTGTGCCCCACTGTTGGTCTCGCGGCACTGTGCCACTGTTGGTTATGTGGCAATCAACATAATTGAAACACTTGCTCTATATCCATTTACATGACAATTTCAATTCATCTTGGTGTTAATCTTAATTAAAAAAGAATTGCATAATTATAATAAATATCTTAAAATATTCAGAAGACATTTTTTCCACATGAGTAAATGATCACTTTGATCACTTTGTGCTCAATTGATCATTGATCACAAATGATCACTTTGACTTTATATTCGTCAACACAATCTAATCTCTCCAATGCCCGTTTTTTTTTTACACAATCAATTTCTTGTCAAAATGTCACCCACACACTTTTTCTCATGGGCAATGATGGCTGGTCAGTGGTCACTACCAGAGCGAGCTACTGGTCAACAGGACTACATAAAACTCCAACACTAGTTGTTCTTGACTTGGGGTGACCTAGTCTCCTGTGTTACCTTGTGTTCATTGCTAAGATTTTTGTTGCAGCTACTTCTTCTTCATCGGAACTAAGGCTTGAATGTCGTTGATGGTAATGGAAGGGTATAATCTTAAATAAGCTTGTAATTTAAATAGAGGTCTTAAGGCATGTGTGGTATTGGTTAGTGAATTAAATATTATAGCAGGCAACTGCAAGAGGCCATACAAAGTTAAAACACCACTGTCTGCTGCCCTAGTAGACATAGGAGCCAAATTCCCTCGACGGTTCATATTGATCACGTATGACTCGACTAAAACCAAACACTTAACCTAATTATTTAATTACCACCACAATGACACATTATGTCATTATGTACACCATGGCTGCCACCACTGGACTCTCATGCCCTTGATGGGGGACTGGCACCATTGGACTTCCTCACCCACTTTGGGTGGGCTGCCACCATTGGACTCCCACATCCACTTTGGGTGGGCTGCCACCATTGGACTCCCACATCCACTTTGGGTGGGCTGCCACCATTGGACTTCCATATACCCACTTTAGGGGGGTGGGCTGCAACCACTGGATTCAAGAAAGGCACTAGTAGTTCAGCAGGAAAACTACAGACTAATTAACCTGTCTTCACACACCTGCAAACTCATGGACACTCTTATGAGTGGAAATCATTAGCCATCTTGGTGCACAATCTTGTAAAATCATTGCCACGTGGTTTTATGAAATATTACTCCTATTTAACAAACCATTTCACACTTCCATGTGTCCGTAATTGGTAACCAACTGTACAAAGGACTTCCAGATGATGTAGTGTATGTGGTCTTTTCTGAACATTTTTATGTGGTATCACATGAAAAACGGGCACAGAAATTTTAAGTGAACGACATACATGATAAAAATTTTCAATGGTTAAAATAAAGAAAGCATGGAGTTGTCCTAAATTTAGGAGAATCTGATTAGAAAAATGTCTTGTACGGCAACCTTCCATTTTGAAATGTACCTACATCAACACAAATGTTGATCACTAAACCACATCAAATTTACAGACGACAGATTTATGATAGGAAATTAAAAATATATTGAGGCCTTCTGAACAAATAGGAGTTGGCAAAAAATCCACTTCCTCGACACTAGGAAAAAGAAAATGGTTATATAGCTGTACAGTTCTGTACAAATCTCTTGTGCTTCCCCATTTGGACTGCTGTAAACAAGCATGGAAAACTCACTTCTGAAGTATATAACTGCTCTAAAATTTCTTTGGCACAGTGTGATCATCCCCAAACTAAGTCAACTCTCATACCAGTGCATTACAAGCGATTTGGCCTGGGTTCATATCTTGGCTGGGGAGGATTGACTAGTCGTCAATCCCTAATTGTATGCCTCTGTTCATCCAGCAGCGAATGCGTACCCGGTTGTTAAACTATTCGGCAGGTCATATTACAGGGAAAATTAAGATTAGGGACCTGCCCCAAATGCTGTGTTAGTGACTTACAAGAATGTAAGAACTCTCGTATAAATAAATAATTAAACTACAGCACTACTATAATAATGCTATGACTTGTCGATTTTCCCTGGGGCCCTGAAAGTCCTAAATATGGGCCTGCAATGATCCATAACATTTACTCTACAGTACCTATAATGTGTTATTGTTAGCATACACTATTTAACCATTTTTGTTGTTTTCAGGGTATGGCCTTCACCCTGGAGGAGAGGCAGGTTCTGGGCATCCATGGACTTATCCCTCCACGATTCAAGACACAGGAGGAACAAGTTGACCTCTGTCAGAAAAATATTGAACGCTATAAGGAGCCATTGAACAAGTTTATCTACCTAGCTGGCCTTCAGGTATTTTACTTTCATACAGTAACTGTATCAAGTCATGTAGATGTTTACTTGGAATTTACCTTGTAAGATATTTGATGTTGGGTGACAATATTTAAAGAGTATGGTAATTTGTTGTTACTATTTTTATTTAACCCCTGCACTGCACACCTGTTTTTGGCAAAAACTTCAAAGTGCAATTGTTAAGGACATATTTTTGTTGTTTTCATTATGTGGTGCTGGCAAGTCAGTGTTCAGGTAAAGTTAATGTCAAAATGAGGCTGAGAGTAGCTGCTCTGTAGCGTGGCTTGTAGCGCATGGTGTGGAAGTTGAACCGAGATTGTCGATGCTGATTGATGAAGATTAAGGCCACCCAAGAGGTGGCACGAACATGAGTAGCCCATAAAAGTGTCGATGATTTTCCTCCAGTTGTTGTATACCTGCATTGACCTGACCTTGTAATGGACCCAGTTTGCTCCTCACTTGATTGAAGCTTGCTGATTACTTTTGGTTGTCCTAAGTGATTTGTTGAAATTTTGGGAATTTGTTATGATGGTCATTAATGGTTAGTGAATATGATTACAGGTGTCATTATGATTGTTAATTATTGGGAACTTTTAAATGCTTGGAATAGAATTATATGGAATGTGGAATAGCATGGGGATAATTTAAGTGGCTGCCACATAATCTCTAATGTGGTTATCTTGAGGTTATCTTGAGATGATTTCGGGGCTTATTAGTGTCCCCGCGGCCCGGTCCTCGACCAGGCCTCCACCCCCAGGGCAGCCCGTGACAGCTGACTAACTCCCGAGTACCTATTTACTGCTAGGTAACAGGGGCATTCAGGGTGAAAGAAACTTTGCCCATTTGTTTCTGCCTCGTGCGGGAATCGAACCCGAGCCACAGAATTACAAGTCCTGCGCGCTATCCACCAGGCTTTCGTGGCCCCATTTTACAGGTTTACAGTAAATACAGGTTACTACAACCTGACAAGGGTTCTGGGAGTTTTACCCCTGAAGCCCAATCTAGGGTTTATTGTGGGGGTTTGTCATTGATCTTTGTTATTATATCAGCCAAACATTTACAGAATGAAACATAACCTTGTTTACATTGGCATTTGACATATCATTTAACATGCAATTTTTGCTATACTTGCAGGATCGTAATGAACGCCTATTTTATAGACTTTTGAGTGAAAATGTAGAAGAGTATATGCCCATTGTATATACGCCAACTGTAGGGTTAGCCTGCCAGAAGTTTGGCCTGATCTTTCGAAGACCTCGTGGTCTCTTCATCTCGATACACGACAAGGGACACGTTTATGATGTCTTAAGGAACTGGTAAGTTTTTAAATATATAGTTCCCGGTATTTTAATGTGTACGGGTATTAAGTTTTTTATATACAGTACAAAGCATGTTATCACACCATTTCTTTGCCTCTTTTATTTAAAATTATTTTGTCTTTGTACAGTTCTGTATTCTTAAATAACACATTTAAGTATTTGCCAGTTACTCTTCATTTACAAATTATAAATCTATATATTTAATACATATAATTACAATAAGTACAATAATTATCTACAAAAGAATTTTGTCTTGTGTAATAACAAATATTCTGCTTGTTATTCTCTACCTTCAGACATTAACTAATTCATTGCATTTTGTCATGAGTTTTGCTTAATTTATATCCGTTAAGATCTGCATTCAAGTGTTTTGTCAGGTTTCCCTTAGCCAATATTTCTTTGAAGTGGCTGATGAGATCACTAAACAAATCATAGCACTATTTGGTACTGTATAATAAATTGGCACTCTATTGATATTTGCTAAGTAGGAACATTTCCTTAGGCCTGAGAGTGATGTGCGAGCCATTGTTGTTACTGATGGTGAGCGTATCCTTGGTCTTGGAGATCTGGGTGTTCAAGGTATGGGTATTCCAGTAGGCAAATTGTCCTTGTACACTGCACTCGCTGGCATCAAGCCCCATCAGTGCCTACCCATTGTGCTTGATGTTGGCACTAACCGAAAGGTAAGCAAGCTATTTGTAAGCACTGAACTTTTTCCTCTTACAGTAATATGGTTTTAGTTCCATTATTAAGTACCAGATGCTAATGTCAGAAACTTAAAAAAAATTTAATTCCTGTACAATTGACATTAAATCATGTAGGCAGGGGGGGAGGGCCTTAATATATGGCTTACATAATATTATTAATCAGAATATAGCCTATATATATAGTTGTTGATTTAATTTATTTATATACGAGATGGTACATTGGGTTGAGAGAGTGCATAACATTCATGTTCTTACATTCTTACATTCATTTATTGCAAATAAAATAGCTGGAAATAAGTTTCTAATTAGTAAGCAAGTCATAAGCTCTGCATTTACAGTACTGTACATGAATGCGTGTACTGTCAATATTGTACTTCTCTTACAAATGGTTATAAAGTATTATTACTTTCTTAGGTAATTTTTCTCTTAGAAATAATACAAAATTGAACACTAATGAATTTTATTTAACTGTCTTAGCAGTGTATGCTGTAGTATATTTTCTCAATCCCTATACAGGAACTGCTTGAAGATGAGTTCTACATTGGGAATCGTCATGAGCGCGTTACTGGTGATGCTTATGATGACTTTATTGATGAATTCATGCAGGCAGTAGTACAACGCTATGGACAGAACACACTTATCCAGTTTGAAGACTTTGGTAACCACAATGCATTCCGTTTCCTTGAGAAGTAAGTAGCTTTTCTTTTTTGGGGGGGTTTATTTTTATTTTATATTTGAGAAGGTGGATGAACTTTGAATTTTAGTGCAAATAAATAAGTTGACATGGAATTTTAAATATTTGTTTCTCATTAATTACAGATTTAGAAAGCTTATATTATTCAATATTTTCACCTGTAGTTGTTTTTTACCTAATTCCTGAATACTAAATCTTGATATTATTAAAATATAGTGTACAATGAGATTGTAAAATGTTGTATATGTATATAAATGTAAAAAATATATTGTATTTTTAACTTTAATGTAGTTACTGAAAATAATGATTTTGTAGTGGAGAATTGCGAGTTTGTGCTATCTTTGTTAGATCATTCTCAGAATTTTATTTTTTGTAAACTATGAAATTCTCATAAAATTTAAAGTAATGTCTTACTAATTCATTATGGTACAGTATTTATAGTAATTGATAGTTAATACTGGTATAGGTTTTGGAGGAGTATGTTCACTTGTATATTCGTTCATTATTTTGCTGAGCAGCCATGCTGCTATGCCAATAGCTTAGAGTTCAGATTCTTTTATGTACATTATGATTTTTCAGGTATCGTGGAAAGTACTGTACATTCAATGACGACATTCAAGGAACAGCTTCTGTTGCTGTGGCTGGCTTGCTTTCATCCCTTAGAATTACAAAGACAAAGCTATCAAGCCATAAGTTCTTATTCCAGGGAGCTGGTGAGGTAAGTTTTCTGGTTTACTTCTGGGGTAAATAGCTCCTTTGAACATTTTTTGTTTACTTTTAAAACAGTAAAAAGAAAGTTTTTAATAAAGCTTCATATGATGAAAGATGTGTAGTCAAATGAAAAGATCTGTTTTATTATTAGTAGTCATAACACAAACATGTACAATTGTCAAGGGATTCAGACTTACACTAACATGTTCTGGTTTGAGAAAATAGAATGGTCTGTATACAGTACTAGTAATGGTGGAATACATATGAAATAATACATGGGACTTGCGTACCTTGCAGCATTACAGAAATTGGTATTATTGATGTTTTTTTTCTCGGGGGAGCCCCGTCGGCTCCTGGAGCTATTGGGCTAATATGCAATATATTAGACAGAGCATTAGTCATTGGAGTTCAGCCTTCCGGGGACCATGAGCCAGAATCTGGCCCCCCTCAGAGAGGCACAGGGAGCAATAGCCTGTAGAACCCCCCCCCCCCATGGTTGGGGGTTTTCCTTATCTGCCATCGACCGGGGTTAGGCATCCAGAAATGTAGGCTTAACAAAACAGATCCCACTTGGTAAGAAAATTGCAGCCGAAAATCAAACAAGAGGTAGAACTCCCCCAATTCCAAAGGAAACAAGCAAATGTCATATCTTGCCGCCTTGCCACTTGTCTGCTCAGCCCTTCCCTCCCCGGGAGGGGGAGGGGTGAGCCCTGGGGCCAGATTCACGAAGCAGTTGTGCAAGTACTTACGAACTTGTACATCTTTCCTCAATCTTTGACGACTTTGTTTACATTTATTAAATCGTTTACAAGCAAGAAAACTTACCAATCAACTGTTGTTATTGTTATAAACAGCCTCCTGGTGCTTCGGAGCTCATTAACTGTTTAATAATTGTAAACAAAGCCGGCAAAGATTGAGAAAAGATGTACAGGTTTCTAAGTGCTTGCGTAACTGCTTTGTGAATCTGACCCCTGGACTCTCCACGCCAGCTACTCAACAACTCCAGTTGGTTGTCTAATATGATCTGGGATGATTGTCAACTCTGGCCTTGGTTTCCTGGTAGTATTTTGCCTTAGGGTTGTTCTCTGCTACATTGTGGTGTGGTGGCCAGGTGTCCTTAGTGTACCGGGGCTGCATGCGCTTAGGGTGGCTTTTCCTGAGTGCCCTGTGAGTACTACCCCTGGGTGCTAGGGTTCTCTTCCTTTGTTTATTCGGGATGCCATTACCATAGGGGGTTTTCTGCTCGGCATTTACCCCATCCTTGGGGCCAGCTGGGACTTCATGGCCCTTGTTTGGCCTTGGGAAGGGAGTGGCATTGTTGCTGGTTGGGGCATCAAGGTGTTTTGCAGCAGCATACCTATGTAGCAGCCGGACCCTGTTTCCTCTGGGGACGTTGTACTTTTGCAGTGTTTTCTGTTATTTTGTTTTTTTTGCTTGGTGGGGGTCTGCCTTATGTGGCTGTAGAATCACTTACATTGTTTTGGTGGCCCTCCGCTAGGTCCCCCATGATTGTACACGTCGCAGGGGTTTCAGTAGTTTGATTATCCCCCTTGTTAGCTTTTGGGTCTAACCAGACTTTTAACCAAGAAGTCTTGCGAGTTGTGTTCTCTGCTTGTTCTCCAATTTACCCATTCAGATGACATTGATATTCGGGTACAGGCGGCATCTGCATTGCATGCGGCTGTCGCTTCGGAGGGTTCGGGTCACTCGGGGTTCGACCATCAGGTTCCATTCGGACTGTTCTCAGGTGCTTCATTGCCCGGACAGTGGGGGTTGTCTTCGGTCTTTGGTTCTTTTGGGCTGGTCGCTTTGAGTGGCCCGTCTGCTGGTTTCTCAGGGTTTGGCTTTTCGTGCAGTTCATATCCGGGGCATATCCAGCGTCCTAATGGATGGCCTGTTTCGATTCGTTCCCCTATCCACGGAATGGACAGTCAACGCTGACTCTTTCAGTTGTTCGTCTTTGCTGGATGTATGGGCTCCTGGAGGTGGACCTTTTCACGTCAGCATGGGTCTCGGCATATCCTGATATACTGTATGTGGTGCCCTTCACCGACTGTGGAGCCTTCACGGTGGACACCTTTCAGCAGGACTGGTCGAGATGGGGTTACCTGTACCTCTTCCCCCTGGTCCAGCTATTGCTTTTGATTCTAGCTCAGTTTCCTGTTTTACCACAGGAAAGTCGTTCTAGTGGCCCCTTAGTGACCGGCCCAGCCTTGGTTTCAGGCGCTGCTTGCTTGGTGTCCGAACCAGGGGCGTTCTCTGCAGCTCCGCCTTTTCCAGCAGATCAAACCAGTCTAGAACACGCTGCTTCGCTCTTATCCTCCACTTTTCGCATCTGTTTTTTTATGCAGGTTTATCATCATTTGTATGGTGATCCAGTGGCTTCATTGATGGTGTCAACCTGAGAGCTTCCTCTTGGCGACAGTATGAAGTTTCCTGGCATTCTTTCTGCCATTTTCTCTCTTCATAGGTTGTTTTCTATTTTCTAATCGGGTTGTCTTGTCCTTTCTTGGCTTTTTCAGGTCCGTCATTTGATGCCAAATACTGTCGCCTCGTATTGTGCTGCACTGGCGGAGCCGCTCCTGCTTGTGTTCAAGGTGGATGTCGCCTCCGCCCTGTCTTGTAAGCTTTCTCGTGCTTTATTTAACCTCCAGCCTGCTCATGCACCGCCTGAGCCATCCTGGTCCTTGGACAGGGTGCTCTCCTTTCTCTCTTATCCTCAGTTCGTGGTGGCCCCCTTTAGTTCAAGATTGCTTTTCCAAGGCTCTCTTTCTGTTGGCATTGGCCTCTGGGGGTCGGGTTGGTGAGCTTCATGCTTTCCTCCGGCCCAGGGGTTTCTTCTCTTTCGATCTTGGTAGTCGGTTTGTTCGGTTGCACCCTTCTCCTTTTCTGACGAAGAACGAGATGGTCGCTTTCCGGGGGGTCCTTGGGTCATTGATGCTTGGTTTGTCAGACCGTGGGATGCATCACGTGTTGTGACCAGTTGCTGCTGTTCGTTGTTACCTGGGCGCCTCGGCTTCTGTGACTGGGGACGCGCTTTGGGTTGACCCGGTTTCCATCGTTCCCTGTTATAGAGCTAGAGTCTCTCAGGTCGTCCGCAGGGTTGTTAAGTCTAGCCAGCCTGCGGTCTATTCTCGTGCCCATGATGTGCGTAAGTTTGTTGTTTTGGCTGCCGCTTTCTGCAACATGTCTTGGGCTGACATTCAGGGCTGGGAGTTTGGAGGTTGAACAGGGTCCTGGCTGCCCGTTATTTGGCAAACATTCTTGGTCCTGGGCGTTCATGTGAGGTGACAGGTTGCAGCGAGTTGTCTTGTCTTTGAGTTGATGAGTGTATCGCGGCCACCTCCTGGGTAAGTCCCTCTTTTCCTTATCTTTGGTTATGTAGGTCCAGGGAGCTGAAGGGGTTCCCCACAGAAAACCAGTGTTAGATGTAATGAAACTCCATTTTCTGGGTGAGCCATGGAGGTTCCCTGGCACTCTCCCTCCCTCCAGTTGGCGGTTTATTCGTTGTTTTGATGCTTAGCCTCCGAATTGGAGTTGAGTTGCCGGCGCGGAGGGTCCGGGGCTCCCTCCTCCCCCTCCCCACGAGCTGTGCAGACAAGCGGCGAGGTGTGACATTTGCTTGTTTCTTTGGGAATTGGGGTAGTTCTGCCTATGTTCAGTTTTCTGTTGCAATTTTCTTGCCAAGTGGCATCTGTTTTTTTATGTGCCTAACATAACACCGGTTTGGTGCCTAACCCCGGTCAGTGACAGATTAGAAAAAAAAAAACCACAGGGGTTTTACAGGGGCCATTGCTTCCTGTGCCTCTCTAAGGGGGCCAGGTTCTGCCTTGTGATACCCGGTAGGCTGAACTCCATTGACTAATGTCCTAGTCTACTATATCGCATATTAGCCCGATAACTCAAGGAAGCCTCCAGGGCTCACCCAGAAAACGGCGTTTCGTTACATTCAACGTTGTTTTTTTTCCCTTGTAGGCTTCTATTGGTATTGCAAATCTAATTGTTATGGCCATGGTGGAGGAAGGCTTGTCAGAAGAGGAAGCTCGATCAAAGATATGGTTAGTGGATTCCCGAGGGCTCATTGTAAAGAATCGGCCTAAGGGTGGCATCTCTGGACACAAATCAGTCTTTGCCCATGAACATCCACCAATGGAGGAACTTGCGGACATTGTCAAAGAGCTTAAGCCAACTACTCTCATTGGTAAGTATGGATATAATAAATTTTTTTTTTGTAAGTAGCCTTAATAAGTTTGTGTTGGTAATTTTATTGGTTTCAAGTATGTTGTCATTGGTAATCATGTCCTCAACTATAATGTAATAGTTCAAACTAAATTGGGTGTATTTAAACAACATTTATTACCTTTGATTATTTTAAGGGTTAGTAGCAAAACCATTTACTTAAGGTGCAGGATAAATTAGGAAAATTGATATCCATAAGCACAATTAGATATATTTTGAACACCAAACACTTCTCGACCAATTACCAGGAAATGTAAAAAACATTGTTCAGATCATAGTTCAGAATTTCAAGAGAACTTCTAATATTTAGCAAAAGTTGTCAACTTTTCAGGTTAAAAATTACCATAACTTGGATGATGAGGGAACCATCAAAGAAACATAGCAGCATATGAGGTTTGAAGAGGGCAGAAGAATGCAAATAGGAACTAGCAGATACATGTTGTGTCCCAATAAAAGTGGCAAGCAAAATTGTTAGACTAGTAGGTATTGTCAAAGGTCAGATATGACTAAGCTACAAGTATCTCCGGAGTTCAGCTTGTATGGGTGAAGCATGTCACAAGATCTGCAATGTGTGGCAGCAGATAAAGTTTGCATCCTTGTCTGCATAAGAAGGCTTCACGGTCCAGAATTTGAAATTTAATAAAAAATAATAATGTTGTCGACTGAGATAATGGTGAATGAATGGTGTCATTTGACTAAATACTTTTTTTCCTCTGCAGCTCATCTGTATTCCAGAAACCAATGCTTCCCATATCCTCATAAGTCAGTAATGGGTTAATGATACACTTCAGATATTCAGACACACGCCATACCACTACACTACACTACATTTGTTCACATGCCATACCTTTTGCACTACTGTTTCAACTCAATCTATTGGTAGACCGGTTGGAGCCGAAGGGGCTCCCCACAGAAAATCAGTGTTGAATATAATGAAACTCTTTTCTGGGTGAGCCCCGGAGGCTCCCTGACACCCCTCCTTCCCTCCAATCAACGTTTTTTGCGTCTTTTTGATGCTTGGCCTCCGAACTGGAGTTGTTGAGTTGCTAGTGCGGAGGGTCCGGGTCCCCCTCCTCCCCCTCCCCTCGGGCTTGTTGAGATGTAGCCTCATAGTCTACATTGCAATTTTACATTGAAAATATAACTGGAAACGACTGCCACCACACTAGCAAAATATCTACAGCAGTGTTTTCTACATGTCATAGATTATTGTAGCTTTAAAATGAGCCTTGATATTTTCATAAAAAGCAAGTTAATCAGTCTTTCTAACATAATCCATGTTCATAGCCTTGCTCATTGTGTGTCTACTTTGATTGAGCAGGTAGCAGTAGTAGCATACAGAGCTTATTTACAGTACTTGAGATGCAGGGATAGTTTAAATAATTAAATAGAAACTTGTTCAGGTGGAATTGGTTGCTAGTTTTTACTCCTCAGTCAGTTACTAAGAATGGGCCTTGAATTTTGTTACAACATAGAAAATAGGAATAATGGGGGGAGGACATTGTCTTCCTGTCTCCATCCAGGCCACTAGACAGTGACTCTCGGGTAAATATGGTCGATATCAGTATAGCATATTCCTGTGTATTTTCTAGGTGCTGCTGCCATTGGTGGTGTGTTTACTCCAGAACTGCTGAAAGATATGGCGTCCTTCAATGAACGCCCCGTCATCTTTGCTCTCAGTAACCCAACAAGTCAGGTATGTGTGTGTTTAATATCTATACCAGCTACACTTGAAATTGTTTTACATTATTTTAATAAGACAATTTGTGTGTATAAAGTGCATGAAACATTTGAAGAGAAAAATTAGAGGCTTCTGTAATAGGTGTTTTATTCAACGTAATATGCAAAAATTGGATAGACATGTGATAAGGGTGAAAATAAGTTGAATATTTTAGTGCAACAGCTCTGTATTTGTAAGTTTTATAATTTACCACACACTTCAAAGCTCTAGGATGAATTTTTAAACAATCATCTGAAAAGCTTGATATAAGTGCATGTATGCTACAGCTGCTGATGTCATTGTTACATCATTGATGTCAGATGTATGATGATAGAATGACTAGTCTGTAGTTTTCTACAGAACTATTTCTGCCTTGAAGATAAGGGTAACATTTGCATATTTATAATCTAGGATGGTAGGACATGTAGTGGAATGATGTAGAAACCCTGATGAGCTATAGTGATATAAGAAAGCTCTTCATACTGGTGACTTCTGTTGTATTACTATGCTTTTTAAATTCAATATAGCTACTGTTGACAGATCCAAAACCTAGTCTCTATCTCAAACTACATTGCACAGATTTTTAACACTGCATTTTCTAATGTAATATATTGCATTGTAAGTATTAATAGTGCATTTGTTATTGTTTATTTCTACATGTGTGTTCATTCTTAACATAAACTGTTTGTTTTTTTACTCAGGCTGAATGCACTGCAGAAGATGCTTATAAATACACTGAAGGCCGCTGCATATTCGCATCTGGCTCTCCATTCAGTTCTGTGACACTCAATGGCCAGACATTCTACCCTGGTCAAGGCAACAATGCATATATTTTCCCTGGTGTGTCTTTGGGCGTCATCTGCACTGGCATCCATCACATTGAGGATTCAATCTTCCTTATGGCAGCCAGGGTAGGTCTCATATGATTGGAATCCAAGGTACTGGGCATGTTAACATTTTAAGTCAACCAAAATACTAAATCTTGCATTTTTGGTATGATAGCACCATCACTGTCCAGCAGTCATTCACAGAAGCACTTCACTGCTTTATAAAATAAATTGTACTACAACCCAGTTTTCTCTTTACCATTGCCCATGCTCTATCGCACTCAATCCCTACTTCCTTACACATGCAATCCCCATGTTTGCCTATCATCATCTCTTCCTCCCTCTCTTCCTCCTAGCCTTGGTCACTTTTCAGCAGGCTACTGTTTCATTTGTTTAACATTTTTACATTGCTTACTTTTGTCCACATTCACTTATAAAGAGTCTTCTTGCACACACAAATAACATTTTGAACTAGTGTACATAAATTTGAATCACTGCTTAAAAAAAAAAATAGCATTTGCAAACATAAAGTTTTACATGCTGTACAGTACAGTACATTTGAGTACTGATATTAAGACTACTATACAGTATACACTATTCATACTGGTATATACACTACAAGCTACTGTATCTCAATTTCAACGTCTGATTTCCCTATCCTCATCTTCTGTGGAACCCACCTAATTCCTCACTTGTCAGTTTCTTGGTTATTTCTTGTTCTCTCCTATAACTATGTCTTGCACTTTGGCCACTAAGCTTTGTGAAATAATGGTTCCAATTCTTACTCATTTTGTTGTAATTTTTTGTACTGTGGTGCAGTTACCACTAGTCATTGCTTTCTGGCAAGTGCTCCATACCACTCGATTCCTCTTCATTCACAACATTTAATCATTTCTGCATATATTTCAACACCTGCAGGTTTCCCATATTTCAATTTCTTTAGTCAACTCTAACATTGATATATAAATTAGCATAGTATCTTCCAGTCCTTTTACTCCATCAAAGTGGGGTGCCACAGGGGTACCACATCAAATTTGCAGATGACACAAAGATTTATAGTGATGTGGGAAATGATAATGATATTGAAGCCTTACAAAGAGATGAACATGAGTTAGTTAGTTTAGTTCATTTATTATGCACCCCATACCCATCTTGTGGGCGGTAGTGGAAAGGGTTACAGAGGCACATAATGGGCTCAGGGACTGAACCCCACAATTCATTTAGCTAAGCAAGTTACAATCTTGATGAGCTAGTTACAAAATTCAATATAAGTCATCACATCAACAATGGGTTCGAGATCGACCTCAAGTACAGGTTCTAAATTAAGCAACTGACATATGTGGAGAGCTAGTGTCAAAATTTATATGTTTGTCCTGCACACCGCCCCCCATCCAGTGGGCAGCGGTGGATAGGTTACAATCACTTAGTTACTACCTACAGTTAGCAAACTGGGGATATTTGGCTAAAATTTCTGGTAGCAGATCATTTTGAATGAAATATTGACACATCGCTGGAACATTGGTTATAGAATTGTCTCTAAATTCACGTATCTTTTCGCACTCCATCACATAGTGACGGAGGGTGTGCGAATAATTTTGTTGACACAGTTTACATTTGGTCAGGTCTACATCAGCAGATAATGAGAATTCCCAGAGATACTTGTAACCGAGTCTAAGCCGAGCAGTAGTAACATCTAGAAGTCTGCTGATTTTATTGGATGATCCATAGATGTGTGGCTCCTCTTGCATGATAGAACATGAAGTCTACAAATGGTCAGAAGACTGGAAAATGTTTTGTAATATTGACCTTTGCAAGACCCTGCATGTGAGGCATAACAACCCATGCCACAACTACTAAATTAACAACATTAATGTTAGTGGCCCTCTTAGTGGCCACTAGTGTTAGTGGCCCTTAGGTAAATTCAGGTAAAATCAAATCATATTCATTTTAGCACATTACTTTCGTCACTTCCATATGTTAGACTGAATGTATTCCCTCTTCCATTCATTCCTAATTTGTGTAACTCTACACACTTCCTTGGCATTCATAACCAAAAATTTAGGGTATACCTCTCCAAATATTAAGATTTATTTGTTCTAAGCTCCTTAAAACAAGATCTCTCATTTTTTTTTTTTTTTTTTCATTCACCAATTTTCTCGCTCAACTTCTCAACTTTATTCTTCCATCTTTTGGTGTCTTATGATGATCAGTCATCTTTTACCCATTAATTTCATCTTATCACAGCATCAATACTCCACTCACTGTTCTTGTATTATACACATAAGCATATGTTTTTCAACAAGCACCTAATCAGTAAACTCTAGTCTACAATTTAAGAGTGTACCTGTAACGTATACATTTGAGTACTGTATATATTTTATTCTACAGCCAATGTAATTTATTCCTGGGACATCATTCCTTATAATTATTATTCAACACCTAGGTATCATACTGATCTCATTCTCTGAATTGTCTTTAAAATCCCCTCTCATTCCTACTTCAGACTTTACACTTTGCATATGTAGCTATAATTGTCACCTTTATTCTTTCACTTTCGTTTAACACACACAAGTGCATTAAATTGCAGTCATGGCCCAGTATTATACAACTTTTTTTATTAACAGCTATAAAACCAATAATGTTCTGAGGACTTAATGCTGCTATTTACAGCATATAGCTTATACACTAATATATGTTTAATATAAATAACTTATTTTTAGGGCGACTTTGTCTTTGCTATGTTAGTAAATATTGTTCATTAAGTCTCGCTGGACCTTTTCAGAATTTATTGGCTCTTGTGTTTAATTTCTTCAAGCCATTGTGTGAAAGTGAGCTTAATATTTGGAGACTAAATTTCTTTAAAGTTGATTTGAGTATGAATATGGTGGAGTTATTTTAGGAGTTTCTATTTAAAAAATTGCACAGGTATGAATTATTCATATGGCTTCATTTTAATACTTAATTTTTTATTTTTAGGCTCTTGCAGACTTGGTAACAGAAGAGGACCTTGGAAATGGCCGGCTGTATCCACCTCTCTCAGACATCAAAGCTTGTTCATTGAAGATTGCCATATATATAGCTGAGCATGCCTACAAGACAGGTATTTATTAAAGGAAGAGAAATTTGAGTGTTGATTACAAAATTTGTAAATATGCATGTCAATGCATCAAAAAAATATGAATGCCTTTTTTATTATTGGAAATATTCATCTGCAAGTCTATATATTTCATGTTATGGTTTAAGATACTCTTAATCATTTTCTGCTTCCAAAGCTTACAGCCATCAAAATCTAGCTATATTTTAATCACTGCTTTTGACGAAGTTAATGTTGCTTCTAAGTATGTGTGCGAGCATGAATGTCAAAACAGTCGCAAACAGAACAGACAGCTGATAAATATGCTTTAAGAAAGTAAACTATGTTTATAGCCTAACACGCCCACATGAAGAGAAGTGATCAGTTGATGTGGGTCCAGGACATGCTGAAATGTTGTCACTTTCCTTTTCATATGTGTGGGTTGGGTTAGTAATATTCAGCCACATTACTGGGTTTTTTCTCTGCAGTTTGTAGAACATGCCTGTGAAAAATATTAAGTACGTAATGATTGTAGACGTGCGAGACACAAGGTTGTTACAACTAGTAGCATTATTCCTCTGGGAAAATGAACTAATATTACCAAAATAAAACTTCAATGAACGAAGTTTAAATTAACACAGTAGTGTGTGTGTGTGTGTGTGTTAGTGCATGTGTCACTTGGTTTGTTGTTGATCAGGTTACAAGATACATCAAATAACCTGATTCCTGCAAGACTTCATGATTAAATTGACCTGAAGATCTACCTTCTGATAAATTATGCATATGCATTTTCACGGTCACCAAATTAGTGTTTTTGTTAATTATTGCCTCAGAATTATATACGGATATTCAGACACTAATGAGCAAGATTTCATTATGCAAAGAACTAAGCATCGGAAATCTTGGTGCAGCCTCCAGTCTTATGAAATTTTAATTTTAATTACTGGTATGAACTGCAAGTTTTCTTGAAGTTCAATACTATAGATTTTATGGTTAGCCAGTAAAACTGGCAGTGCTTTTTTAAATTTTATGCTTTTCCAAAATTATGGTAAGTTACTTTGTTCTATGATACTTGTGTCAACTGGACAAAAACAGTCAGCAGTCACTGTGGACTGTAATTAAAACATGTAATGGTGCACAGTGGTAAGACTCTCGCCCCATGCTTTGTGATCGATTTGGCCTGGGTTTGTATCTTAGCTGGGGAGGATTGACTAGGTGCCAATCTTTAACTGTAGGCCTCTGTTCACCCAGCAGTGAATGGATACCTGGTTGTTAAACGATTTGGTGGGTCGTATTCCAGGGAAAATTTAGATTAACCCTTAACCACTGGACTGTACCCGCCGATAAAACTATTGGTGGGAAGCATCGCTAGCTGAGAAAACACCTTTTTAATATTTCGTACCCATTCAAAATGCGTGCAAGTTAGGTTGTGTACAGAATGGACTCTTGGGACCGCCAGTGAGAGGCAGCCATCTTGGAAAAAATTTGAAAAAAAGTGCAGATTTTGTTCATAAACAGAACAATCACCATAATCACTACAAACAGAACCACCACTATTGTCATTAAAAACAGAACCACCACCATAACCACTACAGATAGAACAACCACTGTACTCGCTAGAAAGGGAACCACCACCATAATCACTACAAACAGAACCGCCACCCTAACCACTACAAATGGAACCACCACCCTAACCACTATAGACGGGACCACCACCGTAACCACTACAGACGGGACCACCACCGTAACCACTACAGACGGGACCACCACCGTAACCACTACAGACGGGACCACCACCCTAACCACTACAGACGGGACCACCACCCTAACCACTACAGACGGGACCACCACCCTAACCACTACAGACGGGACCACCACTGCCATAACCCAGCCCCTCCTCTGAATAGACAGTACTTTTTAATACTAAATGTAATGAGTACAATCCTGACTATTGGCATAGTACATAAATACACTTAATGGCCAGCATCGCACCAAAATATTTTGAATATTAGAGTTTACCTGAAAAGCTGTATAGAAAACCACGACCTACTCTTGGGAGTGTAGGAAGACAAGCATGTAAATAGCATTTATTGCTTCTTAATTACAATTAATATTTAACCTAAATCTATATTGATATTACGATTTTATAAAACTAATAAAACAAAACTAAAGTCTTTCCATAAATTATAAAGTAACTCAGGATATTTTCATTTTTTTTTTTATAAAATCTCTATTGTTTAATAAAAATAAAATAAAGAAATTCTTTATATTTAAAACTTGTGTATATAGAATTGAACACGAAAACTTCAACCTAAAATTTTTAGTGTATTATCAGAAAATTGGGAGAATATATGGGGAGGTAAATGTAAGGGTACAATTAAGTGTATTTATGTACTCTGCAGACAGTCAGGAATGTACTTATTACATTTAGCATTAAAACGTACTGTCTATTCGGAGGAAGGGTTGCATAACCACTACAGATGGGACCACAACCACTAGATTACTATGTTTGCGAACGGAGGCATTATTGAGCTAACAGGCTGTGATGAGGGGGGGGTTCCCCAAGGCTCAGTCCAGAGATCATACCTGTTCCTAATTTATGTGAATGACCTATCTAAGGAAATGAAGTCATACATGGCAATGTTCGCCGATACAAAATGAATGAAGAATATAGAAAATGGACAGACTGCAGGGAATTTTAGGAAGACTTTGGCAAACTCCATGATTAAACCAGCAATTGACTTTTAATTGATAAGTCCAACCAAGTGTAAGGTAATGAAGAAAAAATGAGAGATAGATGACCAGCAGGAATCTACGCCATAAGGGGAAGGCAGCTACAGGAATTGGAAAAAGATCTAGGAACCTTCTTGTATTCATTTCGATAGCCTGTAGTTACAGTATTACAGGGTAAATAGTACATATTCTGTACTTCTTTTAAC